AGATACAAAAAGAACTTGTCAACCAGCTCCATATGCGGTCCCATCCAGGAAAGACACAGCCAGGCAGACAAGCTGCGAGCCAGACCCCACGTCAGGGGACAAAAAGGGCACATCCAGTTTGTCACAGTCAGAGAAACAGAACTACACTGAAAACTAGGCCAATCTCAAACATCTACAAAGGTGTTGATGCAGCATCATAGCTGATACTTCTCTCCAGGATTGCGCCACAGCCAAACAGGAGCAGACCAGATGAAGATACCATGAGAAAAAGCAGAGAGAGCATATTGTTAGAGATTGAACTAAGAAATTCTGCAGAGTGGGAGAATAGAGACAGAATGGATCAGAATGATGAAAAAGGGGTCTCTATGTCCTCCAGCAGTCTAAGTCTATAGCAGCATAACTATGGAGATAGCACTGGATAACCTGAGCCACTCTAACTATAAGCTTTATCAAAAAGGAAAATTTTAAGCCTACCCTTAAAAGTAGACAGGGTGTCTGCCTCACAGACTAAAACTGGTATTTGGTTCCAGAGGAGAGGAGCCTGATAACTAAAAGATCTGCCTCCCATTCTACTTTTAGACATTCTAGGAACAGACTAGTAAACCTGAAGATTAGGAGCAAAGTGCTTTATTCGGCACAAAAGGAACAATCATATTTCTAATGTAAGATGGAGCTTGGCCATTTAAGGATTTATATGTGAGAAGGAAGATTTTAAATTCTAGTCTGGATTTAACAGGAAGCCAATGAAGAGAAGCCAGGATAGGAGAGATATGATCTCTTTTAATTTTCATCAGAAATCATGCTGCAGCATTTTGGATCAGCTGAAGGCTTTTAACTACAGTTTGTTGACTTCCTGATAGTAAAGAATTACAATAGTACAGCCTTGAAGTAACAAATGCATGGACTAGTTTCTCAGCATCATCCCTGGACAGAATATTTCAATTTTTTTTGCAATATTCCGCAGATGAAAGAAGGATATTCTAGAAACCTATCTGATATGGGGTTCAAATAACAGGTCCTGATCAAAAAGATTGTTTACTTTTTTATCTGACGCTCTACTAAACATACTACCCCCAATTTTGTCCGAGTTTAATGGAAGAAAGATGGAACAAAATACAGTGCTGTCTTGGCTCAATACCCATTAGAGTGTGTTAAGATTTGACATCAGATGGAAATTTATCTTCCAGCACAGAGAAACCTCTACATATCCTGAAATAGCTGTAATCAAATAGTTTAAGTTTAAAGTGTATTTATGTTGAGATGTCTCAGTAAAGTCCACTCCTAAATTCAACACATCTTCTGTTAGCTTCTCTGTTAGTTTTATATAGAATAAAGGCTTTTTGAATACTTTATTAATTGGTATTCAGTGAGCAGTTTCATGGCTAATTTTTCCCTTCCCATTTCCTTATTGGGATAATTTTACTTAAAGCAAGAAACCTTATGCAGCACAACTGGTACATGTCTATCATTTAAACAGGAAATTATTTCTAAATAATGAGATCATAAAAAGATCCAGGATTTTTTAGGACCCTTACAGTGCCTTTGTAACCAAATGTTTGCCTCTGGTTTTAAACTTTAAAGGCATTATTTCAATGCTATCGTGATTCCACTTTGTCTCCTTAGCAACTCCACAGAAAAGCAAGAGTCTGAGCAGCTTGCTGTGAGAACAGCGGAGAAGCTTCTCAAGGAGATAAAGCCTCAGACTCCAGGCGGACATGTACAGCTCCGCATCCTGGAGAACTACTGCTTGCTGTCTACTAAACAGAAGGCAAACATAGAGAAAGCCCTCAATGTTTTCACAGAGATTGCAAACAATGAGGTAAGTAGACTCCAGATGGTGCACGACATTATTCTTTCTTGTGTAAATATGCCCACACTAGGAGCACAGTATTGTATTCAGGCCCTCTACTTTTTATTATTGACATTTTATTTAAAAGCTTAAATTTCCAGTGTCTGATTATGAACTTTCTCATAGTTGGTCTTTATAAAGTAGAGTTGTGGTTTTGTGGGATTCATCCCGTCTCTCCTATATTCTTTTGTGGAATTCAGAAAGACCACGTTCCAGCTTTGTTGGCCATGGCAACAGCATACATGATGCTGAAACAAACTCCTCGAGCCAGAAACCAGCTCAAACGCATAGCCAAGATGAACTGGAACATTGCTGATGCTGATGAGTTTGAGAAGAGCTGGCTTCTCTTGGCAGATATTTACATCCACTCGGGCAAGTACGACATGGCTGGAGACCTTCTAAAACGATGCCTCAATCATAACAAGGTGGGCTTAAACATGTTGATACACTTTGAATACGATATCTATACATCCTTCTTAAAACCCTTAGGGAGAAAATCTTTTTTGTGTTATACCAGCTGTGATCTAAGATTTTACATCTGTACTTGTTCCCAGTCATGCTGCAAAGCTTATGAGTATCAGGGCTACATAATGGAAAAAGACCAGGCATTCCGCGATGCAGCTCTCAACTACGAAATGGCTTGGAAATATGGAAATCAGAAAAACCCTGCTATTGGTATGTCAAACAAAATCAGGGGTCCCCTTCTAGTCATAAGAGGATCAAAAGAGAATCACATTTCCAACATCTAATGTCTGCTTTTCATTTAGGATACAAGCTTGCTTTTAACTACTTGAAAGCAAAGAGGCATGTTGATGCCATAGATGTATGTCATAAGGTGAGGGATCTGAAAATAAATGAGCAGAGTTTGATGTCTCGGATGTGGTTTTGTGCTTTGACGCAGCTGCATTTCTGTCCGCAGGTTCTTGCTGCTCATCCAGATTATCCAAAAATGAGGAAAGAAATCCTGGACAAAGCTCGCTCTGCCTTGAGATCATAAAGTCAGATGTTCATGTGTTTGCCTGTAAGCAAATAGCACAGAAGAAATATAATGGGAAAACAACGAGAATATACTTTCAGGCATCTGTTCCTGAAAAGCAATTAAATTGTTTATATATGTTTTTTTCTTTAGATTGGAGTGGAAATCTTACAAATATTTGCATTTTATTTATTTTTTCACACTGACACTGCTTTTTATAATTTTGACAGACAAAAGTCGGAGGTATTTGTATGGTGTCTGTTAAAGATGCTACAGTATAATCTTTACATTTAGCAAACAAATCAAACTGACTAGAAAACAGTTGTGTAGTTATGTAGGGTTTTAAACTATAAACATTTTAAAGAGCATTAAGTTTCTGTGAGGAGTGTGGGTAAATAAAAATGTTCTATTTTGTGTATTTTTGGGTGGATGAGATTACGAGGTGGGCAAGAATCTACATGATCAGCTGTCAATTTAAATATTAAAGTGGACAAAAATGTCTTGACAGATTTTGATTAATGAGTTTTTAAGGTTCACTCTTTGTACATGGACCTGTTTACTTCTGATGACTGGCATGCAATGCATAATGCTGTCATGGACGCTATTACCGAAGCAAACAGTGTTTTCTTGCGTATCTTTAGAACTATTCCTGGTTTATATTGGTATACTGTACAGCTGTGCTAACAAGTTCACAATCTCTGAAAGAACTGCTTATATTTAGCCATAGTTCAATGATACTTTGGTCAGGAAGCAGAGGTGGTGATGCTGAAAATAGATCCTGCAGTAAAAAGAAGTCAGTCAAAATTTCTGCCCCAAAGTGTTATTATCACAAAGTCTTAATGACAGATGTGGCATCCAAGGATGGTTTAAGGTGCAATTACTTTTTCTATAATAGGCCAAGATTTACTTTTCATTGATTTATTATTTTTAATGAGTATTTTCCTCCTCACAAAACTGCATTAAGTATTTCCTTAAGTAAAATGTTTATATGATGTTGAAACAATTTTGACAATCTGAATCTTTGGCTGTCATTTAAAAGAAGATATATTCTCACTCAAAAGATTGTAAGATTGCAGAAATATTACTTTTGTTTTTTTTTTCCATAGCATATTGCTCTTGCATTCATTATTTTATTGATCTCTTTATCTGTTAAAAATGTGGTCACTTTGTAGTATGCAGCTAATAATAAATATGAATATTGATAAAACAGAAGTTATGTTTTTTGTATCCCTCATCTGTCCATCCTTTACAAAGCATCCTGAAAGGACCCCTGCTGATGAATGACTCAAGGGCATAGGTTAGATTTCAACTTTGGTAGGGACACTATTGGTCTTAAGTTGAATTGGTTTGATATCATATGTCCTGATCATCATGCATGCTCCTATTCTTTTTATGCTCGGCGTGAGCATCAGGGCGCATTTCGTTTAAAGGGAAAACTGCATTTTTTGCTACATTTATGCAAATTTTATAAGCACTACACACACAATATGCTGTTTATCGATGTTTGATGCATCAGTGGCTCGGAATAATGTAAAATTGGGACAACTTAACACTTTGAAAAGGGTTACATTTGAACTTACCAGTGACTAAGACGGAAGGTAAATACGTGCCTTTTTAAACAAATATAGTCTAAATATGCCTGTTGTTGGTGTATTTATCCTGTGTTTTCTTTTGAAGCAATAGAATTGTGCAGAGGTAAACACAGGTAAAACCGACTGTTATTATTTTTATCTGATATGCTGATATTTTCTGTATTGTAAAACCAAGCAAAATAAAATATTTAAGCATTTAAAATATTAACTTTAATATACAAGTTGAGAGAAAAGAAGTGACTGCTTCTACAACACTATATTGTAAATTATAAACATATTATTCACATAGAATTATTGGAAAGGACAATAAAGGTTGGCCCAAAATATTGGTAAGAACATGTCCCTATGCAAACCTAAGCCCTTTTTGTTGTCTTATAAGAGAAAATAAAAGGAATTGTCTTTTTGTCAAAAAAAAGTTTTTATTGCAGTATCTTGCTTATTTTCTGAACTCTCTTAATTGAGGATGAACACGCGGCTGCTAATGACGTGACCAGCATGACCCTCCAGCACACAGCCAGCATTATATTGGACATAATATAGAGGCTTCCTGCTGCTGCTGGGAAGCGATGGGGGGACACAGTCCCCACAGAGGGAGTCACTCAGAGACAGACTACCGGGCATCAAGGGAGATTTAACGGGACTGAAACCTGCTCTTAAATAAGCAAAGCGCAATTCTTCTTTTTTTCTGTAAGAGGAAATTTCCTCCTTGGAATATTTTAGAAATAGCAGCTACGGAGAGCGGCGATGAGTTTCAACTTTCATCACTTGAATCTGAAACAAAAAGCACGCGCTGGATGACTGTTTCTAACCGCGGATCATTTCGGATCCGCAGATTTCTAATTGAATAGTTTTTAAGTGTTCATGAAGTTTTAAGATTTGTCAGTAATACTGGGGCTTCCCCGGGGCGTGATTGGACGCGGTGGAGTATGTGGCATTCCTGCGTTATTTGTAACCCAGCAACTCTCCCAGTGAAACACCAGATGAACAAATCCTCTTAATGACGCTTCTCATTGCAGCTGCGATTGAAAAAGGTATTTGATTTAATTTGGATTCACGTGATACGATTTAAATCTACGATTCATTTCGGGAAACAAAAGAGATGCATACTTTTATTGTGATAGTTTTCCTGTTGAGTTCCAGATATGGATTATGACTTATTTTGACATGCAGGGGTTTGCTTTGCGCATGCGCGCCACCCCCTTCTACCTGAGAGGAGCGCACCTGGAACCAACGAGACGGAAGTTCGTCGAAGTCAGAGGGAATCCTTTTTTTTTAATGTTTTTCAAAAGTAATTTTTTTGTGTGAAATTAAAGCAGCAAATAGGTTTTCAGCAGGATGTTAGATCCCTGGATGTTTTTCGTTTATGGATTGCCAAGCGTAAACTTCAATTCAGCGACTTAAGGTACGTCTTGTTTAGTTCAAAGAAATGCATAATCCTGATTCCTTTCTACTGGTATATATTTATATTTAAGAAAATCAATTTGAATCATTCTAGGTTGTTTTGAGCTGGAAAGAAGCTGGAGAGTTTTCAAAAGTTAAACTTTTTTTGTTTAGACAAACCTATTTTCCCCAGTTGGCCCATTCCTTGTAGAAATTTTAGAAAATAGATCATAATCAATTTCTAAACTAAAAGAGAATGGGTACATTCTGTTTATAATAATCACATTTTTTTTAACTCAATGAAAAAAATACCTATTTTACTAATAGCTGAGGATGGCTGATTTTTTAAATAAAACAGGAAGTATTATTGAAATCTTAAAATCTAGTTTATAAAACTTAATAAACTTTAACTCTAATGTAGTAGGTAAACATTTTCAATGTCAACCACAAGTTCAGTAAACGGTTTATTTCATTACCAAGGAGTGGATGAAGGAGTTCAGCTTGCTTTTAGTTCTTTTACACTGTCAACTTTCTCTAAGCCTTCAGGTATGTGAGCCTTTGTCGATGCACAGGGATGGGCAATACTCCTGTAGGGCTGATGACCTACAACTTTAAGATGCTTTTTAAAAAAAATTTTTTGTCCAACACACCTGAATCAAATTGCCAAATTACTTAAGTGTGCAATCAAGTTGTCCAGAGTCCTTCCAGGTTTCCACCCAAAGTTATTAAAGTCAATGCAGGCAGATTTGGGTTAAAATGTAACTTTTAATTATATCTGCACATTACTTTTGACTATAAGTATTATTCGAAAATTGTATTTCATAATCAAGTTAAAGACCAATACGCATTAAAGGTGCACTATTCTGACATCTGCTGTAAAACATTATATTTACAAACATATGAATAAATCTGTGTTTTTAACAGCCAAAGTTACTTTTTATGGTATTTTTTTATGTGTAAATGTGTCTTCATTACAGCTTGATCTTTGTCCACAACCAGCCGCAGCCAATAAAAAAAAGAATGACCTTTTTCCGAAGAGTACTCCGAAGACCACTTCACCCACTAAAACTGGTTATAGTGACCCTAGTGTTTGTCACATTTCTGTTCTTTATACAATGGGAAGTTGGGACTCAAAGCCAAGAGGATGATCCCTGGCTAAAGGAGATGGCAGTGAAGCGTGACAGCATGCTGGGAATGGTTATAGGGGCTGTCAATAACTTTAAGCATGCAATGCCAAAGAACCAGATCAAAGCCCCAGTACGACAACGGGATACACCAGGGGCTGCCTCCTGCCTGCCAGGTCACTACACTGCTGCTGAGCTCAGACCGGCTCTGGAGAGGCCACCTCAGAATCCCCTTTCTCCTGGAGCCGCTGGTAAACCTTTCCATACAGATTCACTCAGTCCTGAAGAGCAGAAGGAGAAGGACAGGGGTGATGAGAAGCACTGCTTCAATGTTTACGCCAGCGATCGCATCTCTCTGAGTCGAGACCTGGGAGCTGATACAAGACCGCCGGAGTATGTGGACATCTCTCTAAACCTTTTCTATGTAAATACTGTAATGATACACAACTAACCAATGACTTACATACACATTTTGCTTCTAAGGAAAATGTCAGCTAGAAACCCCCTGGTATTTTTTCAGCATGTCCAGTTATCTTTGTGGATAAAATCAGATAAAAGTTGATGTTTGTAGTCGCTACAAAACTCAGGCAAAAATGTTAATTGTCTAAATTACTAAATAGGGTGCATGTACTTGAAATAGCGAGCAACATCTTTCCCATTCCAGTTTGCCAAATATTTCAAATGTTGCATTGCCAAAGTTGAAAGGGATTCCACACAGGGGACACCCTGCAGATGTAATAACCACACTTAAGCCTTTTACAAACCATTCAAAGTAGTCATGTCTTTTCTTCTTTTTTTTTTGCCTCATGCAGATGCATTGAGCAAAAGTTCAAGCGGTGCCCCCCCTTGCCCACCACCAGCGTGATTATTGTGTTTCACAACGAGGCTTGGAGCACTCTGCTGAGGACGGTTTACAGTGTCCTCCACACTTCCCCTGCAATTTTCCTCAAGGAGATCATCCTGGTAGACGACGCCAGCGTGGATGGTAAAAAATGAAATGGGACCCTCGTAAAGACCACTCAGCACTGGTTTTGGGTTCAATTACAAGCAGCATGCTGGGTGGGCAGCTCTAAGAGGGGCTGCAAACCTGATCTGTGGTTTGTGACGTGGCTAAAAAATGTTGAGAGGTGGTTAGTGGATACTTTTCAGGGTAGAATTAGCTGCGGCTAACTTCAAAAGACACAATAATATAGTTTAGATATATCAAGTAAGTAAAAACCTGGGAAGGCTTTTGATGAATGCGGGACAAAATTAACCTCTGCCAGTATTTATATCCAATATATGAGGGACTCTCAGATGGTGTCTTATTATTAGACTTACCGTTTAGAGATTCATGGCTTATTTTATCTTTTCAGTTTCTGTATAAGGGTGCTGTTTCAATACCAGTTATAGCTGGTTCTGATCTCTCTTTAAAAACCTTTGAAGCATTTGTAACATGCTGCTTTGCCTTGCTGCCATGTTTGCCCCTTTAATATATGGATAAACATAATTAACCAAAATCAGCAGTGTCTGTGTAGATCCTTACCTTACTGCTGATATTTGATTGACTTTATTGATCTCGCAGTGGAGAAATGTACTTGTAACATAAGCTCAAATAGTCAAGGAAGAAGAATGTGATGACGAAAAAGGCGCATTGGATATATACAGTATATACAGTGCCTCCACATATGACTGTTTTTTTTTTTGTTTGTTTGTTTTTGTTATAGTAGCATTATTGCACAGGGTGATAACATGGATATTTATATAGATGGATATTTATATTTATATATATATATATATATATATATATATATATATATATATATATATATATATATATATATATATATATATAGTTATTGCACTGTGTGTCAAATATAGAGAAACGGGTAATTGCAGAGTGTATCAAATAGTAATTGCTCATTATTGCAGTTGTAGTGACGCATTGTAGAGTTTGGTTGCAGCAGGGATGACCTGTGCTCCTTTTTACAAAAACAGAGTGTTTTGGCTCAAAATATTAAAACTTTGGATTTGGTTTCAAGGTTTACCTTTCTTGGGTAAAACGTATACTATTTTGCAGCAATCTTTGGCTAAATTCTCTACTTTACCTAATTGATAAACTGATCAAAATACAGGTAATAATTAATGTGATGTCAGAAGAAAATTGCAGAAATAAGAAATACCAATGCGGAATAAATAACCAAGAACTATGAAAGGCTACTGCTGTTTACTTTTTACACCCTCTGCATATTGTTAGATTTATTTATGAAACCTCTAGTTAACACTGAGAATGGTTACTTTGAGTCTTCTTCCTGCAGTAGCAGGATCTTTATAAAAGATCAGATTTCTTTTAAATTGCATATAACCAAAAAATAAACTAATTGGAACACCAGCCCATTGCCCAGATCGTTCTATTTAATTTATTTTGGACCCGATAGAAGTTTTTCCCTTTTTCAGCAGGTATTCCAAGTACTGTCTTGTCTTATCCTTTCAGATGTATTGAAGGACGAGCTGGATGAATATTTGAAGCAGCTGAGCATCGTTCGAGTGGTCCGACAGCGAGAAAGGAAAGGACTCATAACCGCTCGCTTGCTGGGTGCCTCTGTGGCCACCGGCGACACGCTCACCTTTCTCGACGCACATTGTTAGTCACCACAGACGTCATACAAACACAATTTTACACACACCCTTAACACACCCATATTGTGTTTGATAAATTTTTTTTGTGTGGTGATAAACAATAATGGAGTTATGATGTGGTGTTTTGTGTCTTTAAACGTGCTAACAGGTGAATGTTTTCATGGATGGCTGGAGCCTCTGCTGGCAAGAATTGCTGAGAATTACACCGCCGTAGTGAGTCCTGATATAACAACTATTGATCTAAACACGTTTGAGTTCATTAAACCTTCCCCATATGGGCAAAACCACAATCGGGGCAACTTTGACTGGGGTCTCTCTTTTGGCTGGGAGACTCTACCAGACCATGAGAAGCAGAGAAGAAAAGATGAAACGTATCCCATCAAGTAAGTCAATCAATAGAGGATGTGACTTCTGTGTCAATATTTTACCTCCTGTAATAACATCCTTGTATGTTTTAGGACTCCCACATTTGCTGGTGGACTCTTTTCAATCTCTAAGGAATATTTTTACCACATTGGAAGCTATGATGAAGAAATGGAAATCTGGGGTGCTGAAAACATTGAGATGTCATTCAGGGTAAGACGTCACATAGTTTCCTTTTACAGCAGCAGTTCTTATTAATTAGCCTTGTAGTTTTTCCAGTTTTCAAAAGGCGTCATAGGTGTGTCTAACTCAGCGCCTGTTTCTGCTGGCTACCATTAACTTACAGGTGTGGCAGTGTGGTGGACAGCTGGAGATTATCCCTTGTTCTATTGTCGGTCATGTTTTCCGGACCAAAAGTCCACACACGTTCCCTAAGGGCACACAGGTGATTGCTCGGAACCAGGTACGACTGGCAGAGGTCTGGATGGATGAGTACAAGGAGATATTTTACCGTCGCAACCAGCAAGCTGCACAAATGGCAAAGGACGTAAGTGCTGGTTTTGCTGCTTCTGAAAATATGTCAATTAAATGTACTTATCTTAAACGAGTAGCAAATTACTCCTGAGGCTTTGTCTCTTGTTTCCACCAATTATGGCTGTGTATGAGTGTTTTCAAGCCCACTTATTATCTCCTCCTCTAGACAAGCCAGAGCAAATCCCAGCTCCTGTCCCTGAAATGCTTGGAAAAGCATTAGATCTGATTATGCATTTCTTAGGAGAAAGACTTAGAAGTGTAGTTTTTGAATAAAGACAATATATATGTAGAAACATATACATGAAAATATGCATAGATGATCTTATCAACCAATGTTGATAAGAACATCTATGAACTCTTGAGTTTCTTTTTCCCTGGTGAGTGCTTTGGTTCCAACTTGTGTTGGTGATGTTGAACCAGAGCATAATGTGTGGACTGTGGCAGAAAACTGATATTATCAGTAACATTGATGCTTTTCTAATTCTTGTTAATAAAAGAAAACTATTTCATTTCATGACTACTTTGGTTCTTTAATCTGGGTGTACTGAACCAACTGAAACTGTGTTTTAAAAAGAAAAAAGATTACATGTTAGTAGTTTTCTTTAAAAGTTGATCTAATTATTTTGCTGTCTCATCATCCTTTTGCTTTGCATTTTGTAACAGAAACAATATGGAAATATTTCCAAACGGTTGGATCTGAGGGAAAAGTTGCAGTGCAAAAGTTTCTCCTGGTTTCTGAACAACATTTATCCAGAAGTCTTCATGCCTGATCTGAACCCACTCCGCTTTGGCTCGGTAAGATTTCATTCTCTACTACTAACCTTCCACTTTTCAAAGCCCACAGCTCCGTCTAGCCACAGCACGTTTTTTTCGTGGGATCTCAATAGGGTACAACACAGTTTCAATTTAACACCACTAAAAGCACATCTGAGACTAAAGTTGTTTGAACAGCTTGTGCTGGATGTTAGTTTTTCATTTTGTTTCCTCTTGCTTACTCCCACTTTTCCTATGCTTTTTTTCTCTTCTTGTTCTGTAGGTAAAGAATGTGGGCAGAGGCACATGTCTGGATGCTGGAGAGAACAACGAGGGAGGGAAACCGCTGATTATGTACCCATGTCATGGACTAGGTGGAAACCAGGTCAGTGAGAAAATGCCCCATCTCCTGTCAAATTTGATTAAATTGAACCGCATTTTTTTTATCCTCTAACGCTTTCTGCTTTCCCCAGTACTTCGAGTACTCCACACGTCACGAGATTAGACACAATATTCAGAAGGAACTGTGTTTGCATGGGGCAGTGATTGCTGTGAAGCTGGAAGACTGCCAGTACAAAGGGAGGAATACATTCGTAGGAGCCCAACAAAAATGGGAGCTAAAGGAAGTGAGTTTGCCCATTTTTCTTTCGCTTAGTTTGATTTCAGATTTACTGGTTATTCATTGTAACAAAATAATATTATCGTCTTTTTTTTCTTTTTTTTTTTTAGAATCAGTTGCTCTACTTGCCAGGATTGAACATGTGTCTGAGTGCTCGTCACGAGGATCCATATTTGGCTCCATGCAGTCCCTCAGACAGATATCAGCACTGGTCCATTGTCTGAGTGTTCAAACCACTGCTTTGCAAATGTCTGCTTTGTATGCATAAAGCATATAAGGATATAATTTATGCAGCCTTTTTTAGATTAAAAACCACATTGAATTTTAATTTATTTTTTTTTATAAAAGGATTAAGTTGTGCTGCTATTGGTGCTGCTATAAAGTTTTGGCTTTGGAAGAATCCATCGTGTGCCACTGTTACAAGAATGCATACAAGAAACCCAAAAATTGTGCCTTTTTGTTTAAAATGTCCTTAAAACTAAATCACAGAAATAGTTTGGGATTTAAAGCCAGCAAGTAATTCAGCAGGATGGTAATATGAATTTACAAGAGCATGCATTACAAACAAGACAGTCAAAGTGGTTTTATAAAGATGTTGGCAAAGAGATGGACCATATTTACAAATGCCTCTTTAAGAATGCCAAGTTCTTTGGATCTCTAATTTTTAATTTTTTGTTTTTATTTTTCAGTATTTTTTGTCTTATGAAATTGGTAAAGGTTGGGTCATTTTTGTTGGGAAAAACATCTGAGGTTGCTATATTTAAGGTAAAGCAATTTAACTTTTTTAGGACCTATTTTTTTTATAATGTGAATTAACTGTATAAGAACAGCTTTTTGCCAGTTTGAGTGCAAGAGTTTACACATAAAAAAAACAAAACTGACAGTAACTGCAAACAGATGTCCTGCCTTGTAAAAAAGAGCAGTTTATATTCATTAAGATTTATTTTCAAAATCACTTAATTGTGTCTTTTATGTGAGGTTTTATACTGTGGTGTTTATGAAGGGCAGCTCTCAGTTTAACATAATGAACTATTTTCCTAATTACTCAATGCCTCAAACTTTCTCTTTAAGTGCATCTTTGCACAAGTTAACACACTATGATGAGGCTTTAAATATTGAGTTAAGGATATCATTAATTTAGCTTTATAAAAAGGATTCATTTTTGTGTTCAAAGCTACAGTGTTGAGATGTTTTTTGTCTGAGCTTCATTAATTTTGTTGGTTTAAACCAATGTCCCCTCCGTGGCCGATAGAGGGCGCCTTTGGGCCTACAAATGGCAAGTTCCAACAGTAGAGTTGATGCCCTGTGGAAATGTCTCATAACTTCACACATTTTATAAAATTTATTCAAAAACATAATTGGATGCAACAACTGAAAGCCATGTAGGCTTTATGTACATTTGGAAACATAACTTGGAAAAAAAAAACAACTTGTACAAGTCTTGTGCAAATCCTATGCATTTAACCAAATATGAAAGAGACTAAAATACACCAGGCACATGAAGCTTTACAATTCACATTAACTTGCATGAAACGAAAGACGGTTTTAACATATCAAGTTACTCAATAGACTTTAGTAAACCACAATAAATACACATTCCAATATTTCATTCAGAATAAATACTAAAATTGAAAACACGATTCCCAAAATGGTCCAACCACTCTGCAAGGAGCCTTTCTACACTGTACACTTTGGCACAATTTCTATGTTAGAGGCTTGAGTTAATGCAACTGATGCTGCTAAATGAAAGTAGCATGGTGCCAGCAGATAACGAACAAATGCACAAAAATGGTACTGATTTATCTCTGACTGTGATTAAAGTAAAGTTGAATGTATATGCAAGCTTCAGGGTGAAGCACATTCCTGTAATAATATAGTAATGTATAAAGATCTTAATGAAACCTTTCTATAAAATATTTTTACTGAATGTTGAGTACATCAATTTCATTTTCTGCTAATCTTTATAAATCGCACTAATTGCACACTTTAGAGTTTTAAATCTGGGTTCTTCATGGATTAGGGGATTCAGAAATTCTTTTTGTGCTGCTCATAAGATCAGTCCTGTCTGAAAATACTTTGATACTTTGACTTTGAATAGCATTTTTATCACTGAACAGCTAATTTTGTTATGTTGATTTTTCAATGGCACATGATCTCCAATCCAAGAATAAATGTAAGAAAGGGTATTCTATTCCACTTTCTTACATTTTATTTAAACAGTTATTTATGCTTATTTTTCCTGCAGTCAAATATACATTTTGGATCAACAGCAAAAAGCCTCTTAATTTTAGCTCATGGTATAGCACTCTACCCTTCTCTGGCTCAAATCCGGGACCATGGTCTTGAGCTTGAAAAGGGTAGAGTGCCTTCTCCGGGTTGGGGAGGAGAAGATGGAGCGGGATTTCGATAGGCGGATTGGTGCGGCATCTGCTGTGAAGCGTGCTCTGTACCGGTCTGTTGTGGTGAAGAGAGAGCCGAGCCAAAAAGATAAACTCTCGATTTACCGGTCGATCTACGTTCCTACCCTCATCTATGGTCATGAGCTTTGGGTCATGACCGAAAGAACGGGATCCCGGGTACAAGTGGCTGAAATGAGTTTTCTCCGTAGTGTGTCCAGGCTCTCCCTTAGGTAGGGTGAGGAGCTCAGTCATCTGGGGGGGGGGGGGGGGGGGGGGGGGGGGTGAAGTTCACAACTCTACGGAAACCGCGGCAGACCAAACCAGATGAAAGTGCGCATTCAGCTCGGCAAAGAACTCATGCTCTTCCTCAACACTGAAGTCCTCAGACATTTTTCTTTCGTTGTTTCTTTCTTTGCACAGGTAAACAGTACATTTCTTCTTCTACGCTTGCATTATCGGCAGAGCAGACGCTGAATGCGCACTTTCATCTGGTTTGGTCTGCCGGCTTCCGTAGCGTCGTGAACGCGCAGGCGCGCGCTTTCAGGAAATCCTATACACTACTGTTTATGCTCTAAAAACATTCTAAATGACTTCGTTTCGAGTAAATTCTGGATGCTACCCACTCAGGACACTTGGAATACATTGGACGAGCAGTATGGAGGAATATTGACACATTTTTTGTGGACTTTTATGGACCTTTCTGTCTTGGGCACCATAGACCTCCATTATTTGAATGTCAGCAGACAGCAAGAAGCCTCCCAGATCTCCAGATGCATTTGAGATATCAAAAAAGTACTCCAGAGTGTTGTTCAGCATGGGGGTGAGTAGAAAATGAAGGCTAATCATGTTTTGGGTGTACTATTCCTTTAAGGGAAAAAAATTTTTTTTTCACCCGATACAACTGTAATGGATTTTCCCGCTTACAGGTAAAATCCTTTTTGATTATGTGGGGAAAAGAGAGATTTGAACAATTTCTATTCTGTTGATTGAAGAATGGGAATAGAGTCGTCAAGAAGCATGAGAGTAATGATGTTGGTCAGAACAGGAGTAGATATTCCAACATTAAACCTGATTGCTGTCGCATTTTTGTTTGGAATTACAGATTTTGACAAAAATGTTCATTCCTCACGATGACTCACTAATTTCATATTTAAGCTACAGACTGTCAAATAACTTTCGTCTTGAGTAGTCATTGTTATACACTGATGCCTAAGTCAGGCATTTCATAGGTCATACTATTACTTTTTCACTATGTTTTGGGTGCTTTCCAGATTACTTATGCAATTTAAATGCCAAACTGATTTACATGCCAGTAACTAAAGGGAAATGTTTGAAAAGCATAAATGCCTCTTAACTAACATGTTCCTGTCTGAAATAAAAAAAAGCTTTGACTATTTTGAAAATACATCAGAAAATCTAACGAACCCTCTAAAACAACAAGTCTGCTCTAAATGGAAATAGTTTAAGAAATATTTTAATGTTTAAAAAATGAAAAATGGTTCACATCCATGTACGTGCCATTGAACCCAAAGTAGACTGTAAGTGCAAAGATCTTCAAAATGACACGACTGGTTGCTTAATTTAAAAAAACTAATTCTGAATCGTTACGATTTTCAAATCATAAAAAGAAGATGACTGTACATTATAAATGAAACTTTTTTAAAAACAGAGGCAGTTATTTAGAGTTCCAAAACAGCATGCATATTTCTACGAAAACATATACAATATATAAGGATACACTTATAATTCAGTCACATTAATTAAACAGAGAGATTCTTTCTGCACAAACAGCAGCGTAAAAGTTCGATCTACTGTACAATTACCGCTTGAAACTAGAATTTACGCTCTGCAAATACAAGCTGCGTTGCACAGCATGACATTAGTTTCTTTTTCTTTTCTTATGTATTATCTCTTGTTTTTGGAGTTGAGTATGAACTCTATGATGAATTAAATACATGTGTCAATGGTACCAAAAATTTGTGTCCATTACAAGCTTATGGCTTTAGAATAACAGATGAAAAAACCTGGTATTATTCTGTAAATTACCTTGAAACTAGTTTTCAAAAAGAAAAAGAGGCCATAATGACTATTCCTTGAAGAACAGCATAATAAGGTTTAAGTAAGGATGTAATAATTGAAAGCACATCTTTTTAATTGGCTGTGACCTCAGAGCAATGATCTGGTAAAGGGAGGCTCTTAGTGTTTTTCGATAGTAAGGTTGTGTCAGTGTGTCCATTAGCACATGGTTTCTGCTGAGATTGCTCAGCCACCATACATGTGACACTGTTACTGCTGCAGGACTCCTGAGTGTTGTTATTAAGGTAGTTTTCAAACTCTGTTTGGTTGTGGTTTTCATGCTGCCCCACAAAGGAGGCCTTGGACATCACCTCGTTGTTTCGGTTGGTAGGGTAAAAGGGCAAAGAGGCATCAGGATGAGACCCATTCAAATGATGGTGGACACTGGTTGTGTACTGCTTCTCTGTATGATTAGAGTAGCTCGTGAACTCAACAGAGCTTATGTTGAACGGTCCCTGGGCCAAATTGCCATTTGTTTCGGTGACTGGATCTGGGAATGTGAGCACCTCCCTGTAAGACTCACTGTGCCGGCTGGTTTGGACATTCGTGTGGGCACTGGAGCTTTCCAGCTGATAGTAGTCAGGGGGAGAGGAGTTCATTAGGTAAGGCTTTCCATTTATATGGTTATCATGACCCAGAGAGCTATCAGTGTAACACATAACTGAGGACATTGGCACCAATTCAGTATGAGAAACCGCTGGGGGCGTCATGTCATGATCGTGAATCTCAGACTTCCCTGCAGTGTCCTCCTCATCCTCTGAGTTGCTGTTGCCAAAGCTTTTTGTGCTGGAGTCAGATAACCCACTACACACGCTGCTGCTGTCCTCCTCATCCTCTTCATCTTCATTTTCCTCCTCCTCCTCTTCTTCATCGTCCTCATCTTCATCGTCCTCGTCTTCATCATCTAGAGGCTCTTCCATCTCATCTGCTCCATGGAAGTGCATAGCAGCCGCCTGTGGGACGGCGTCAGACAAAGAGTACTCCAACCTGTTCTGTGACTGTGTGAACAGGCTCCCGTTCCCCATGTTGTAACCATTGCTTTGGGAGGTTTGTGGCTGTTCGCGGCTCTTCTCCAGCTCCAGCTTCATGATAGTGTGCAGGAAATGGGTCCGAACACGGATAGGATTAAACTCTACTCTTCCAGCTGAATTGCTGCAGCCTTCTTTTGTGCAGCCACAAGGAAATGACATTCGATCCACCTTTAAAAAAAAGAAAAGAAAAAAAAAATTCATTTATTGGTGGTTTTGAACATCGGTCACTGCACTTTTTTTAAAAATTCACTGCACCCTTTACAACATTGAGCAAGGTTAAAAATTGAAACTACATTCATATGCCTTTTATTGCAGCAACATAAACTCACAAGAAAAAAATTAACCCTAACTCTTAAGTTAATTAATCCATAACTGCTACATTAAGTAGCAGATGCTGTTAACAGAATTACAGATTTGTCGACAGGATAGAACAGGGTTATTCCCTAAAACATTTTAAAAGGTTGAGCAAACAGAGAGAAATCTTTTGGCCATTCCTTTGCATGTTTTCTGTAGTTCATCCAGAATCCTGCACTTGGTCCCCTCTTAAATCCACCCCACATGTTTTATTATTGGCAATAACGATACAGGCTTCATGCAGTCTTTTCTCTGTTCATTTAGCCACCTGATAGTTTGGATCATTATTCAACTGAAAGACCTAATCGAGTTTTTTATAATTTATTTATTTTTTATCTGGCAGTCATTTCTGTTATCTGGCAAATTCCATCAGATTTTAATCCAACATTTCTAGAGATTTGAAACAGGGTTTCTAATCCAATAAACTATAACTAGGTTCCCAGCACCTTGGGATAAACAGGCTCACAACATCTCCGATCTTCAACAACTCCCCTTTATGCCTCTTTTTTGGCATGACTGGGAATGCAAAGTTCACAGATCTTAAACTGTTTTTTTTTTGTTTTTGTTTTTTTTATCATCCTTTTTTACCCCCTAAAGTAATTTTTGCTCAGAAATTAGATATTCATGCTCAGCAGAATCTGCCATATCATCCTCCTCATAGAGTCACCACCAGCAGTCTGATTACAGGTGCTGGCTGCTCCCTACACCCACAAATAGTTTTCATTATATACTTAAAAACAGAAAAATGCATTACAATTGGACCAAAGGAGAGGTTTTTATTTTTCTAGTCTAATAAAATGATTCTACATTAACTTTCAGTTTGGAAATGTAATGATGGTCCCTTATGGAGAGATATTTGTGCCATCGGTTTGAGCGCGCAGGAACCAATCCGAGCGCGCAGTGAGACAACACGCGCGCGCGCAAAACCGGTCTGGCGCGCGCTCAACTCTGAAAAACCCTCTCAACACACTTATCTCGCGCTCAGTTTCATCTCTGCGCGTGCTCGAATCCGTCTCTGCTCGCGCTCGCTCGACCTGCTCTCTCTCCGCGCTCAACACCAGCTGTGCGCTCGGCTGTTTCTCCGCTCGCTCGACTCTCTGCGCTCGCAACTTCAGCAATGTATGTAAATGAACCATACCATCAGCCAATCACACTCAGCTTCTTTTCATCCAATGAAAGCATTCCTTCCTTCTTCTTCTTCTTTTCTATCATGGCGGATCGCAAGCAACTTTAAGGTGCATACCGCCACCTACTGTTCATGAGTGTGTAGCAACATTGTTTTACATCTATTAAATTCTATTTTTTAATTTTGCATTCTGAAGATAACTAAATAATGCTTTCCTTAATCTATAAACATCCTTTATATTTCCTTTATTTCCCAATAATCCTTTAAGACTCCATTCTTGGCCTGTCATTTCAACTACTCTTCTCAATTTTTCCCTTTCAGGTTCATATGTTTTACAGTTCATTAATATGTAAGCATTCGTTCCAAATACTACATCCGGTTAGATGAAAAAAAATACATAAATAAATAAAAACACAATCAGGAAAATCAAACAACTCTTACAGTTATTTTGTCAACATTCCTAAGATAGTACTATAAAATATCTTGAATTATCTCAAATAAACTTCAGTAAAACAGTTATTAGATCATTGCCTCATCCATCTCTTTTACCTGCTATTGACATGGATTTAAATTTGATGTTTTAAAAGAAAAATAAGGAGGATATTTCAGGTTCCAGTATGGTTCAACAATATATAGATAAAAAATATTATGGATATGTTAAATTTTTTATGGATGCTTCAAAATATTCCAATATTAGGAATGGTGTTTTGTTTTAGTTTCATAATTTATTTTTAAATCGGGTAAAAGAATCAGTGATGGAATTCAGCCTACAAAGGAGAAATGTTTTGGATCATATTGGCCTTACAATGGATTGAAGAAATCGTTCCATTAAGAAGTTTAGTTTGCTCTGATTTTAGATCAGCGACCGTTATATTAATTTAAACGCAATTATTCAGACAGCAGACCTGATCTGAAATTTAACAATTATTATTTAGAAGACCTTTTACAGATGGACTCTAAATAAGAGGGTTATTCTTTATTATATATATTAAAAAGAATAATTTGATAAACAGGATTTTTCAGTTGGTGGCGGTAATTGTTGTTTGCCAACCTCCATAAAAAACAACAAAAAGAAGAAACACCCGCCACAAAAGGTAAGAGTAAGGCCAATATGATCCAAAACATTATCTATATACTGTTGAACCATACTGGAACCTGAAATATCCTCCTTATTTTTCTTTTAAAACAGCAAATTTAAATCCATGTCAATAGCAGGTAAAAGAGATGGATGAGGCAATGATCTAATAACTGTTTTACTGAAGTTTATTTGAGATAATTCAAGATATTTTATAGTACTATCTTAGGAATGTTGACAAAATAACTGTAAGAGTAGTTTGATTTTCCTGATTGTGTTTTTATTTATTTATTTATTTTTTTTTCATCTAACCGGATGTAGTATTTGGAACGAATGCTTACATATTAATGAACTGTAAAACATATGAACCTGAAAGGGAAAAATTGAGAAGAGTAGTTGAAATGACAGGCCAAGAATGGAGTCTTAAAGGATTATTGGGAAATAAAGGAAATATAAAGGATGTTTATAGATTAAGGAAAGCATTATTTAGTTATCTTCAGAATGCAAAATTAAAAAATAGAATTTAATAGATGTAAAACAATGTTGCTACACACTCATGAACAGTAGGTGGCGGTATGCACCTTGAAGTTGCTTGCGAACCGCCATGATAGAAAAGAAGAAGAAGGAAGGAATGCTTTCATTGGATGAAAAGAAGCTGGGTGTGATTGGCTGATGGTATGGTTCATTTACATACATTGCTGAAGTTGCGAGCGCAGAGAGTCGAGCGAGCGGAGAAACAGCCGAGCGCACAGCTGGTGTTGAGCGCAGAGAGAGAGCAGGTCGAGCGAGCGCGAGCAGAGACGGATTCGAGCACGCGCAGAGATGAAACTGAGCGCGAGAACAGTGTGTTGAGAGGGTTTTTCAGAGTTGAGCGCGCGCCAGACCGGTTTTGCGCGCGCGCGTGTTGTCTCACTGCGCGCTCGGATTGGTTCCTGCGCGCTCAAACCGATGGCACAAATATCTCTCCATAGTCCCTCAGCAAACTACTTCATGTAGGAGGAGCGAATATGCAGAGAAAAGCTGCACAGGGTAGCGCTACTGACATCAGTTTTTCTCTCAGACATTGTAATAACAAATACACTACAGGGGCATTTTGTAGCACTGTTGCCTTGAGACAAGAAGGTCCTAGGTTCCATTCCAGGCCTAGAGTCTTAATGCGGTTTGCAGGTTTTCCTGACGAACAGGGATTAGATGATGGATAGAAGTGAACCCAACATACTGACTCTAAATCATATGTAGTAAACATGAGGAGGGTTCCAAACAGACAGTTCTAAGGATTTTAACAAATGTGCAGTAAATTGTCAAAAAATATCTAGGAATGGAAACAGCACTATAAGTGGATAGTCTTTTATCACAAAAAAAATATTTTGAGGTTACAGTTCCGAATTCTCCCGAGTGGTGCCCGACTTTAGTGAATGAAGTGAATGTGATTGTAAGATTATCAAGGGGGCGGGATTGTATAAAACAAGATGCTATGACTGAAAAACTTTGATTGACAGATGACCGTTGATATATGATTGGCCGAATTTAGGTGTACAAGCTGATGTATAACTAACTGGCCTGCATAAAATAACAATAAATCCCCCCACAGGTTTTAAGAAAGGATTTTTCTAAAAATAAAAATGTTCTAACTTTTGGGACAATATGGTCTAATAACGAGTACATTTATATACATGTTTAAGCCAGAATGATTTGAAATTTAAATATGACTTCACTACAACTTTAAATGATCCATCCATCCATCCATCCATCCATCCATCCATCCATCCATCCATCCATCCATCTTCCTCCGCTTATCCGGGGTCGGGTCGCGGGGGCAGTAGCTTAAGAAGGGAGGCCCAGACTTCCCACTCCCCAGCCACTTCTTCTAGCTCTTCAGGAGGAACCCCAAGGCGTTCCCAGGCCAGCCGAGAAACATAGTCTCTCCAGCGTGTCCTGGGTCTTCCCCGGGGCCTCCCCCCGGTGGGACGTGCCCGGAACACCTCACCAGGGAGACGTCCAGGAGGCATCCTAAACAGATGCCCAAGCCACCTCAACTGGCTCCTCTCGACGTGGAGGAGCAGCGGCTCTACTCCGAGTCCCTCCCGGATGACCGAGCTTCTCACCCTATCTCTAAGGGAGAGCCCAGCCACCCTACGGAGGAAACCCATTTCGGCCGCTTGTATCCGCGATCTCGTTCTTTCGGTCATGACCCAGAGTTCATGACCATAGATGAGGGTAGGAACGTAGATCGACCGGTAAATCGAGAGCTTCGCTTTTTGACTCAGCTCTCTCTTCAACCACGACGGACCGGTACAGCGCCCGCTTCACGGCAGACGCTGCACCAATCCGCCTGTCGATCTCCCGCTCCCTTCTTCCCTCATTCGTGAACAAGATCCCAAGATACTTAAACTCCTCCACTTGGGGCAGGACACCCCCCCCCTGACCCGGAGAAGGCACTCTACCCTTTTCCGGCTCAAGACCATGGCCTCGGATTTGGAGGCACTAATCCCCATCCCGGCCGCTTCACACTCGGCTGCGAACCGATCCAGCGAGAGCTGCAGATCACGACCTGATGAAGCCAACAGGACCACATCATCTGCATAAAGCAGAGACTCAATCCTAAGGCCACCAAAACGGATCCCCTCAACACCTTGGCTGCGCCTAGAAATTCTGTCCATGAAGGTAATGAACAGAATCGGTGACAAAGGGCAGCCCTGGCGGAGTCCAACTCTCACCGGAAACGATGATTTAAATGATCTAAGTAAAGTTTATATATGTAGGATTTACCTGACACTTGATCCCTGCAATACTGCAAGCACAGGTCTCTGGGTCACAGAACAGCCTGCAGTCACAGCCGCAGTCTTCCCTGGACATGCGAATGGCTCTAAGTTCATGCTTCTCCTCCACATCAATCTTCTTCACTCCTGAGGAGCGCAGGAGTGCTCTGCGCTTCTTGGTGGTGAGAGGCTGCAAAAAGAAGTACTCGTCTACCTCTGTGTTCTCCAGATCTATGTCGTCATCTGAGATATCCTCTGCTGTGAGTGTGTTAGCCTCTTCGGACTCCACTGTGCCATTCTTAGTCAGCTGAAAAACAAGATGGGAACACGTCCAAGCACTTTAAGGATCAGCTCATTACCTAAGCCAGACAGGTTATCATGAGGATTATTTTTTATAAAATACTGCCAAATGCCTTTAACAACAACACTTCTTTCAACCCAAATATATTTTAGTTATGAATTCTGAAATTTAACAGTCAAAATAAAATCTGGCGTTAAGCACTGCACTTTTACAATTCTTTATTAGCCTTCATATCTTTAAAATATATTTCTAACTCACCACCTTACAGTTACTTTGTTCTGTTGTTCTGCCTTCAAGCAGCTGTATTAACCTTAAAATCTTGATTTTAATCTTGATTATCAGAGTCACAATCTAAGTATTGGTCTAATTATTCTAATTGTTGCTTCCATCAATATTATGCAACATTGTGCCATTAAATTCTGTAACAGGAAATATGTCTTTCCTGGGGTTTCTGGGATATTCTGTATGTTTTTTCTTGGACTTAGCCCTTGCTGTGTAGTCACTTTCCCTATGTGTTTCAAAAGAAACTATTCACATACATAGAATTTACTACCATTAGCTATGTTTGCTCTTTTTTATTAGTACCCTATCATAGAAAATATTCCCAGTTAGGTCATGTGTTTAGGTGTGTCTTTTTATTAAGAGAAGTGACAAATTGCTTTCCCTTAGAAATTCTCTCCTGGGTCAGTGTTCCTGTCTCCCTCTTATCCTCTTACTCCCGAGCAGTAATAGCAGCTGAATTAAACTGAAACTTTCAATTTTATGTAGAATCAGTGTAACTGTAAGGTATTTGGTTTAATGCAAACCTGCCAGGTATCATGTTTAATATATTTTATTTTCTCTCAGAAAATCTAAATACTTCAAGTTAAGACAGTTACCACATAATTAAGCCCAGCAACATATTGTATTTTTAATCTTCAGACCTAAGACTTTGACATGCAATAAGTTGTATAGTTACATACATATTTTTTTTTTCTATTTGACCAAGTGAAAAGCCTTTACCTTTAGCTTGATTGAATTAAGTTTTTCTTCCTTCAAGTGGTCTTTGAGCATATCTCTGTGAATCCTCTCCTGCTCCAAGGCAAATTCTCCCAAGGAGTACTGTCTGACCCAGCTGTGCCTGTTGGACATGCCCAAAGTGCTGCCACCCTGGCTAGGGACACTGGTGAAACCCTGCCGCCGGCCAAAGTAGTACACGGTCACATTCTCAAAATGCACTCTCCTGGCTCGGAAGCGCTTCTCACACTTCAAGATTGAGTCAGCTAAAACGGCAGAACAGGAGAAGTTAGAAAAAAAGTAAAAAAACAACCTAAAATGTAAGTAAATTGCATGGTCCAGAACAATTGGGACAATAGTTATCTTCACAAAAGTTAAATGGACCTTTTAACTGACCTTTTTTCTTTCACTGTCTCAGCATATATATACACTATATTGCCAAAAGTATTTGCTCACCTGCCTTGACTCACATATGAGCTTAAGTGACATCCCGTTCCTAATCCATAGGGTTCAATATGACGTCGGTCCACCCTTTGCAGCTAGAACAGCTTCAACTCTTCTGGGAAGGCTGTCCACAAGGTTTAGGAGTGTGTTTATGGGAATTTTTGACCATTCTTCCAGAAGCGCATTTGTGAGGTCGCACACTGATGTTGGACGAGAAGGCCTGGCTCTCAGTCTCCGCTCTAATTCATCCCAAAGGTGTTCTATCGGGTTGAGGTCAGGACTCTGTGCAGGCCAGTCAAGTTCATCCACACCAGACTCTGTCATCCATGTCTTTATGGACCTTGCTTTGTGCACTGGTGCACAGTCATGTTGGAAGAGGAAGGGGCCAGCTCCAAACTGTTCCCACAAAGTTGGGAGCATGGAATTGTCCAAAATGTCTTGGTATGCTGAAGCATTCAGAGTTCCTTTCACTGGAACTAAGGGGCCAAGCCCAGCTCCTGAAAAACAACCCCACACCATAATCCCCCCTCCACCAAACTTTACACTTGGCACAATGCAGTCAGACAAGTACCGTTCTCCTGGCAACCGCCAAACCCAGACCCGTCCATCAGATTGCCAGATGGAGAAGCGCGATTCGTCACTCCAGAGAACGCGTCTCCACTGCTCTAGAGTCCAGTGGCGGCGTGCTTTACACCACCGCATCCGACGCTTTGCATTGCACTTGGTGATGTATGGCTTGGATGCAGCTGCTCGACCATGGAAACCCATTCCATGAAGCTCTCTGCGCACTGTTCTTGAGCTAATCTGAAGGCCACATGAAGTTTGGAGGTCTGTAGTGATTGACTCTGCAGAAAGTTGGCGACCTCTTCGCACTATGCGCGTCAGCATCCGCTGACCCCGCTCCGTCAGTTTACGTGGCCTAACACTTCGTGGCTGAGTTGCTGTCGTTCCCAAACACTTCCATTTTCTTATAATACAGCTGACAGTTGACTGTGGAATATTTAGGAGCGAGGAAATTTCACGACTGGATTTGTTGCACAGGTGGCATCCTATCACAGTTCCACGCTGGAATTCACTGAGCTCCTGAGAGCGACCCATTCTTTCACAAATGTTTGTAAAAACAGTCTGCATGCCTAGGTGCTTGAATTTATACACCTGTGGCCATGGAAGTGATTGGAACACCTGATTCCAATAATTTGGATGGGTGAGCAAATACTTTTGGCAATATAGTGTATATATATATATATATATATATATATATATATATATATACTCATTAAAGTGTATATACTTTACTTATACTTATTACTGCATATTGAATAGTAATTCTTAACTATGTCTTTAAATGCAAATATGTCATAGCTCTGTCAGTATTAGAAATGAAACTTGATCTTCTGTTTACAGGCAATATTGTATGCCGTTTTGATATATACATATATTTCTTTTTACCATATTTAATGTACGGAATCATTCCATAATGTATGCCCTATGTACTGTTCAAACTTCTTTAGAAGTATTTAGTTTTTTTGAGAAACTATATGAAATATGAGGGGCTTCTAAAAAAAAAAAAAAACCTAAAACATTATAAATAACAAGCATTTTCAACATTTGTGATCAGTTCATCTCTATCAATTTAAACCCATTTTCACATTGCAAGTATATTTGGAGGATCACATTTCTATTTTGCCATAGGATGAATAGAGTAGCAAAATGAATCTCTATGGACACTGTCACTAATTAGAAATGATTTTCCGTACTGCCTTATTGTCACGATTTGTTTGGAGGTTTTTACGAGGACCCAAATGCAGAGGCTGACAGGCAGAGGTGAGTTCTTAAAAGGTTTAATAAGAGATCAGGCAGCAAAAACAGGAATCCAAAAATCCAACTTAAAAATGTTAAACAAAAACAGGTATCAAAAAATCCGACCTAAAAATCAAACACAAACCAGAACCATGGAGACATCATGGGAAAACCATCAAGGAGCCAGGATGAGAAAAGGTAAGACAAGGAACCGGCAAAGAGGGACTGCAGAGGGAGTGTATTTATGGCTGACTGAACAAAGGTAGGACTAATGAGCTGATTAGGAGCAGGTGTGGCTAGAGCTGATGAGGAAGCCAAGGGAAAAGAACACAAGGGGGCAACAGAGGACAGACAGAAAAACTTGAGCAACTTAAATGAATCCAGACACTCAAATAAAGCTAGAAAACAAGGAAAAACCTGGCTAAACTTGAAACTGAAAACTTAGAGAAAAACAACAGAACCAAGATCGTTACACTTATATAACTTTTTTAACAATTTTTGTCTGCTTATTTTGGTGTGGTAAAACACACTCTAATAGGTAAAACTAACTGTGCACTATTATTGGCGCACAGTTAGTTAAATAATTTTATTTCTCCTCTTGTTTTTGCAGCTGATTTTAAAACATTTACATTGAGAAGTTAATTTGTAAATAAATATTAACAGATTGATGATTCCTTCACAAGTTCATTTATAGATGGAGGAACCTCAGACTTTCGGCCCAGGGATGCCAAAAAGGGCTAGCACCAGCCTTGATATTAATGTTCATCTTAAATTTTGTCATAGCAGATTTTGCAGCATCAGGTTTGATGTCCATTCCCTTGTGTAGTGGAGGACACTTGAAAATACTACTGTTACCATTCAGCTTTATTTCAGTCATATTGGAGCCAGGTATACATCACAGCCGTGATCATTTATTTTGTCCCGCTCTTCCTCAATCATCTGAAACACCTACAGCTACACGAATGTATGGCAAGTGTTTTGCTTAAATACAGCCTTAGCTTTTATGTCCATCATCAGTGTGTCAAATGTTACGGAACTGGAACCGTGGACAGCTTTATATAAATAGAAAAGATTACAATAAACAGGCTGCAAGGTGGCACATTCTTCAAGCTAATTCCTTATCAGAATTGTGATGGGGCCACCGTGGAGAGGTTGCCACTCTGTCGCAGTAAACACACCATAGACCACAGACATACAACCATGCACATACACACACTCACACCTAAGGAAAATGTAGAGAAGCCAGTTAACATAACAGTTATGTTTTTGGACTGTGAGAGGAAGCCGGAGTACCGAGAGAGAACCAACGCATGCACGGGGAACGCATGCTGGGAATCGAATACAGAACCTTCTTGCTGCAAGCCAACAGTGCAATATTAGGTTTTTGGACTTGATTAAATGAATTATTTAATTTATTATCACCAAAAGATCCATTTCTCTCACAATTTTTTTTTAATAACAAAGCATTAAAATGTTGTTTATCACTATTTTTTTAACATATTGACCATTGAAAATGTTTTGAATTTAATGTCATTTCATTTAGCATTACCAAAACACTGATCTGAATCTTTCTTAGTAAATCAAACAATTAAATCAATAGGTAGCCCTCCCTTTTAAATATAAACACATTCCTTTTTAAATTGGCATAAAATAGTGCAATCTTATTAAAGCCATTATGTTTGTGGAAAGCATCTGTGTTATTTTTTGAATGCATTTATTGTATAGTATGTGTAAAGATGAGCACACACGGCTTAGGATCAGCTCGTTCCTCTGGTTGGGCCTGTATGCAGCTCCTAATGAGCAAGGCTGCCTGTGCAATGCTTCCTCTTTGTCACCAGCACCGTTCTCCTCTTCTCCAAACAGCACAGCCACAGCTCGATATTCACTGATGTTAGCTTATCAGAGGATGTACTTATTTTTTATGTTTAACCTGCATCATGTAATTGCTCCGGGGTACTAAGCCTGGATCTGAGAATTTCATTAAAAAAAATAAAATTTATGAAATGGCCACTTTGCTGTTAGTAAAACAGCAGAAATCAGTGCATACATCTAAAAGAAGAAGACTCACGGTTGAAAGTGCCTGAGGTGGAGGGGTTAACACTGTCACTGCTATCCCCACTCTCGCTGCAGGAGACCTCATCATCAGACTCCCGTACAGAGGAACAGGGGGAGGAGGAGGCTTCCACCTCCTCAAATTTTCTTTTCAGTATTCCGCTCATGGTCTGCTGCATCTGCACCTGAAATCCAGAGACAGCAAAGGGGTCTGCGTGTTATTTAATATCCAGTTTAGGGCCTTGATAATCCCCAACCAGGCACACATACTCAGTTTGCTGTTGTCCCAAATTCCTGCAATCCCCGGGTCATTGATCACCTTGTGACAAAGGAGAATATGAAAAAAGAAAAGCTGCTAATTACAAACTACATCTTCCTTACAGGAAGTTAATTCCACTGTGTGATTGACATGTCCATGGAAAGAAGAGGGACTGGGTCATTTTGCCTTGCAATGCTACCCATCAGAATTAAATTCCAAGCACAATATTAGATATAATCAGTAGTAACATTGATATTATGAGTATTTTATTTAAGTTTCAGATTTATAGTTTGGAATTAGTGTGGACAATGATAGATATCATTCTCAGATTAATGCTGCCTGTGTTGATTTTCAAGTGTGTGGTGGTGATAAAACGTTTTAAACAGTTTCATGTGAAATCTGCTGCACAGGATCCATAAGCAAATGTGCATAAACATCTGTGCTTTTTACATTAAGAAAAAGTAACATACATACATACAGTTGAGACAATTGTATACAGTAGCAAGCCTAAGACAAATTTAACAACCAGCCATTTATGCCTTTTTGTTTTTCACATTTATGTAAATATCATATGAATCATGAATGTATCAACCACAGTCTTTAAAACCATGACAAACTCATAATGTCTCGTGCTTTTGCATGTTTCCTATTATAGGAAGCCGAAAGCAGTCCCACCGCTATTTAAAAAAAGAATATCCAGTAATACATCTATTCATGTACCGGTACATTCTGGAAAATACTCTTTTATCCATTTAAATGTTTATTGGCATGTCATGCATAGCATTTTGTAGCAGACTAAGTCAATGTCAACCAAAAGTACATTAACTACTCTGACAGATGATGCAATTAGGCAAATAAACAACAGCAGGCTCATCAGTCAAATACACTAAAACTAATTACTGTCACATTGGATGTGTTTCTCATACTCTTGTACTACAAGCATTAAATACTAAATAACTTTCAATTCTGCTTTATACCTTACATACTTTTAAAGAAAGAGGTAAAAAAAAATGAGTTCTTCTATATATACAATATTAAATATTTGTTTTTCCTGTTTTAACAGTATTTTATTCTATTTTAAATTACAGAACTATGCTGCAGAGACACAGTGAGGATTGCAATGACTGGCAGCTTCTCCCTGGCTGCATTTTCTCTCACCCTCTCTCTCAGAACCTGGAATCAGTAGAGATGGCATGCATCTTCAGCCAGTACCCACTATGTCTATCTGCCAGAGCAGCTTGTGGGGGAGTTCCATTCACAGACAGCCTCGCTGTTTCATCTGGGCTCTGCTATCAAGTCATTACAGATGCAAATTCGGCTTGCGAGACATGCTGGCTGAGAGAGAGAGAGAGAGGTGCAACCAAGAGAGGAAGGACTAGCTCTGCCAGCAAGAGGGTCATTGTTCCCTGGAGGCAATGATGTTCAGTGCTGTGGCATGGCACAGCCAGCATTTGGAGAACCTCCAAAGACAATAACTTCACCTGCAACTGAGGAATGTGAAGCAAAAAACATGTCAGGATAACCTCATTGACCATGTTTCTGTTCATGAAGAATTTATAAAAACTTGGATGAGGAGCAGACAGCTCCATCCTGAACTAGATGCAGTTTATTTTCAGCTTACAGGGAAGAAACTAAACATGTTCTTACTTCTGAATCAGAAAGACAGGAGAGGTTAATAAAAGACCAAGGAGTTCATTATATAATTCTAAAAAATCTGATTAACAAAAAAGCTTTCGATATCACATTGAAAATAGATTTCTCACACTACTTCATGCCTTGGCAGGCAGGCGTGGTAATTTCAAACAGAGATGACCTGTGCAAATATTAGCCCATTTCCTACTCAGGGTCTTAATAAGATACCATTGTTAGAAACATGTTTGCATGCTTAGCCCTCAGCTAATGCTGCGCTCAGCTTTGAAATCAAAAGTGGTTTCCATGGAGATTCTAATGCACTCTCACAAATAGTGCTTCTCCATATGGCTCTCCTTCCTGTGCTACATACCCTGCATGAGGGACTCTTAACAATAAAGAGCAGTTTATATATCTATTCCCTTCTGGTTTTATCTGGATTATCTTGTGTCAGTATGAAAACTTTAGTGGGGATAACATCGCTAACCACAGAGCTCTGGGTGATTCAGGGTGAACCTCTTTAATCATGACTAAATAAAAACAGGGACTGTTGCTCTTCTCCAACAGCCCTTCCTTTGTCTCAACTGCCTTGATCATAGCTGGGCAAGCACAAACTCTTCCCAATCCCAGAGAAAATACTGCAGCAAAAAAAAAAAAAAATAAAGTCAGCTTGGAAATGCCCCTCCCTGTCTTTCCCTCTTTGAACACACATTTAGTCCTACATTAACTCAACAGTTAATCAACAGTGTTTGCAGCTCTGCAGTACACTTTCATCATGAATACCCTGATTTTTTCTCCTCTTCATCATTCACAAAGTTGACAGAGAAAGGCTCACAGTGCTCATTCAGAGAGATGCCATCAAGCCTGAGGCATCTGGAGCAAGTCATGACACATCAATCCTACTGTGACCACTTCTATGTGTGTGTGTGAATTTGTGTGTGTGATCCCTCACAGGAACAACTGACCTGTATCCACTGGAAGTGTGACTCCTCACCTCGTCTCACAGCGTTACAACCACCCAGTCACAAATGTGGCCACTCAGAGAAGAGGAAACATGATGAATGGAGAGATTCTTATTTTGTCTTAGCCCACTGACTTGCAGCGACCCCTGATCTCCACGGGTATGACAAAGAGGGAGAGCAGAATGTGCAGGAGGTTGAGGGAGACGAGTAATTTTCCAGCTCTGCCTGCGTTGTCGGTAACATATGCTTTATTGTGGCGAGACGACAGTCTTTCTCATTTAAACTCCCTCTTCTGTCACTGTGTTGCGCTCTCCCTTTGCTTTCTATCTTTGGCCGCACAAAGGCTCATTAGCTGCAGCCGGGTTGAAAGGCAGAAGCCTGACTGGAGCTGAGTGGAGCAGGGAGCAGAGGCAGCCTGTAAGATCACATGGGTGGGATGTCTGAGAGAGGGAGGCAGAGTCAGGCGTTCTTCTGCCACTACTGTCTGCAGATATTTTTACTAACATGGAGAGGGAGGAGGGCAAGGAGGGGAGAGAGCAGGGAGAGTTATTGGGGTGTGGGGTAGAGGGGCAAAATGTTAAAGAAACCAGTGATGGGAGGTGTGTGGGAAAATGGGGCAAAGGGTTCAAATGCACAGATAAGGGGCTTTAGTTGGAAACAGAAGGAGGAAAAGAGGGAGGGGGGAAATAATTAGACAAACATCTTATGCCAGAAGCAACATCACTGAGAAAAGGTGGGGGGAAGATATGAGGGTGTTCAAGACACCCTCACCTCTTTTGTTTCCTTTCTGGATCAATTTAACCAATTAAACACCACATTTAAAAAGTGGCATTTGCTCAAATGCAATCAGCCCTCCAAAGCAAAAACATTTTATGCAAATATACTATGTTGCTTTAGGAGATTGATAAGCATATGTCAAGGTAAACCACCTCACCAACAGGAAATAGGATCTGCACCAGAGTGCATGTGCTCTTGATGCTTCCTATGCCAGGAAGTTCTGCAGATTTGGTGGGGCCCCTAGTCAGTGCAGTCAAAGAGACACAATCCCATTCTTGCACTCAGCTGTATCATATGTCAACATAAAAGGTCAGTTACTTCCTCTTTGGATTTAAGGATTTAAGCTTGGATATTTTTCTCCTCTTATAGGGAGCCCTGAATTACAGTCATCGAAGACACATGGCAATATCTAGCAAAAATTACACCCTGATTTATATTGGAAGACTGCAGATACCAATATTTAATACTGCATATTCCAGAATGAAGGTTCATACTGAAGTACTGCATCAGGTTATGATGTCATGTTAGAAATAGCATGCTTTTTCTTCCAAAGGTCCCAATAAATATGAAACACATATGCGTATACCATGACACAAACCTTTGAAATATTCTTGAAATGTTTGTAATGCAACTCCCATTTCACCCTTTGCCTACTTTAGCTGCTTTTCTCCAGCTATTTTAAGAAGTCCCTTGCCAGATCAAATGTATAGTCAAAATATTCTTCCAGTGTTCAAAAACTACTTTGGACACTTGTTAAATATAAAAAATTGTGACCTCACCCTTACATTTAAATCTTTATGAGATTAAATTCTTGGGCTTAGCTTTAAATTGTATTACCTTTAGTTGAACTCAGGCAAAACAATAGACTAATTTACCTCTTCCCCAATCTCATCTTCCAGATTGTTCACAACCTTCTGACACTGCTAGGCCAGATCTAGAGGAGCTGATGCAGGTTGGCTGCACCCGGTTGTTACCTAAGGAATGACTATGTCGGATGTAAATTGGACTCTGCCTGTATTGCTGTGAGAGTCTTCGCCTCATTTCTTCCTGCCTAAAGTAGCTAAAAGGGAGGGCCCACTGATAAGGAAGGGACCAGGGGACAGTTTTAAGAACAGATCATACAGCATAACATTACCCTGCTCTCCCCTAATGAATCAACCATTTCACTCTTTTGCCTTAATTGATTCTGGTTGTGAACAAAGTGTTGTGATAACAATTTAACTGAACAATTTCTTCTTCCTGTTTTATGCCTACCTCAACCAATTCATGTCTCTGCTCTAAATGGAAGTCCTCTGCATGTAATTATGCACAGAAGGAACCAGTAAAATTTCTGGTGTCAGCCAATCATATTGAAGAATATTTCTTTTCCCTACCAATCTCCCATTGTTTAAGGGTACCCTTGGCTAACCCTTCATTATCCCCACCTGAACTGGAAAGGCATCAGAGAGGAGTCATAGAAGAGCCACTGTCTGTCAAACTGGCTACAGTGGGCTGTGTCTCCAGTCTTAAATTCTCAAGAACAGAAAACTGTTCTGTTCTGTTCATCACCTTCATCTAGTTTTCAGTTGGTCTAAGGCTCTCTCTCTCCTGCATCACCACCACCATTTGACTGTGTTATTGAGATGCTTCCTGGAGCTCTTTTCCGCTCCACTAGGTTGTATAACCTGTCCAGAGCTGAGATAGTGTGTGGAGAAGTATTTATGTGTCGCTAGCTGCTGGAATTAACTGTGCCTCTTTCTCACCTGTTGGAGCAAATTTTTTCTCTGTTGGGAAAAATGATGGATCAAGACCTTGCATTGATTACAGGGCCCTTAAATAAATATCCACCTACTCTTGTGGATCATTTCATGGCTCACATTTCTTACCAAGTTTGTTTTCCACAACGCATTCCACCCGGTCAGAATAGGAGAAAGAGACGGAAGGAAGACTGTCTTCAAGACCCGTAGGTAATTTTAAATGCCTTTCGAACTCACAAATGCACCTGCAGTTTTTCAGTCCATTGTGAATGACTTTTTTTTTTTTTTTTTAGAGATTTTTAAAATCTGTTTCTTATTGTATACCTTGATGAAATTTTGATTTTCTCCAGGGCCTTATCCAACCGAACTTTTGCACTCCTTAAATGTAATTTTTGGTGGTCTACAATATATAAGGATGTTAAAAGTTATGTTCTATCCTGTCCAGTGTGTGCCCACAATAAAGATAATCACCTGCCTTCCAGTGGTGTTCTTCAGCCATTGCCTATACCTAATCGTCCAAGGTCTCATATTGCCTTGGATTTCGTTACTGGGCTACCACCATTTAAAAGGTTTTACCACCATCCTCATTATAATTGACCACTTCTCCAAAGCCTGTCAACTCATCTCTCTTTGTCAACTTCTATCCTCCCTTGAGAAAGCTCAGCCTCCGATTAAGCATGTTTTTTGGCTTCAGAGAATTCCTTGGAAAATCCTGTCCTATCTCCCCTCTCTGGAGGGAGTTTTGTCCTTCTTTGGGGGCCTAGGCTTCCCTCAGTCAGGTTTTTCCCCCAAAACAAATGGTCAGTACAAACGCATTTATCCATCTACACCATCATTGCACCATCTTAGTGGAGTACTCTTTTGCCTTGGGTAGAAAATGCACACAATGGTCACACATCTGCTAATTCAGCACATTCACTCAGCCTTCACCGTCCAAATTATTTTAGACGCTCTTCAACAAGGAATGCATTCAAGACCCCTCATCAAGGAATGGTTTTCATTATCTGGTTGATTGAGTGTTTTTTTTTGGACCTGAGGAACTATCTTTGATCACTCGTTCTTTTATTTTGGATACTGATCTTCTTTGGGACTTTTGGGCTTCTCGCCTTCCTTGTGTGGGTGAGCTTCCTGTCAGAGAGGATCTTTGCTGGTGGTTGGGCCGACCCATGTTGCTGCACACCTGAGAACATTTCACAATCAAGATGACTAGAATGTATATAAGGAGGCATCTCTCTTCACCTGATGATTACCCCTCACAGTATTCCAGCCTAAGACCTAAACCAGGAACATCCATCTTTTTTTAAATTTGTCCTCTTGTGAATCTTTTTAATGTAGACTCTTATATTGTTCCAGACAACCAGTGAACTTCAGTTCATCTCCGATCTTCATGGAAAAGGTCTTACCTGTGTGTAGCAGTTCCCAGTTGTCATCACCTGCCTGCCCACTTTCTGGCACAATGTCTGTTGCAAGTACCAAGGCTCTCAGATCTCACTCACATTCTCCTGGAGCTCTATGATACAGTCTGCAAAGTGTGCTAAATCAAACTCCCGCAGATCTATGCTACATTCCCTTCATCTCTCAAGTAAGGAAATCAGTAAGTCATTAGTTCTCATCAACTGACTCCATCCCGATCAGTCTGCTTTCTCACCTCAGACCAACCAGAAAGTTCAACTAACTTACTGCTGTTCTCCACTTCCATATTCGTGATGCTTTTGTAAATAAAAGTTAAAACTCACTGGTTCCCTGTGTGATTCTGCACACAAAATCACATAGACGCTACAAACCAACATAACTGTTATGTGTTTTATAAAAATATACTTCATTCATTTTGTGGGGCTGTGTTAGTTAACGCGGCTCTGCAACATTGCGTGGACATCAGCGGGCGGTTCCCCTGGATTGGCAGACCAGGGTGGTGGTCCCTCTATTTAAAAAAGGGGACCGCAGGGTGTGTTCTAATTACAGAGGATTCACACTCTTAAGCCTCCTTGGTAAGGTCTATTCCAGGGTTCTGGAAAGGAGGGTCCATCGGTATTCGACCGTGTCCCTCGGAGGGTCCTGTGGGGGGTACTCCGGGAGTATGGAGTACCGGGCCCTTTAATAGGGGCTCTTAGGTCTCTGTATGACCGGTGTCAGAGCCTGGTCCGCATTGCCGGCTCCGCAATGACTCCGCCAAGGTTGCCCTTTGTCACCGATTCTGTTCATAACTTTTATGGACAGAATTTCTAGGCGCAGCCAAGGTGTTGAGGGGATCTATCTTGGTGGCCTTAGGATTGCTGGTTCTGTTGGCTTTTCCGAGTGTGAAGCGGCCGTGATGAGAATCAGTGCCTCCAAATCCGAGACAATGGTCTTGAGCCGGAAAAGGGTAGAGGGCCTTCTCCGGGTTGGGGAGGATGTACTACCCCTTGTGGAGGAAGTATCTTGGCGTCTTTTTCACGAATGAGGGGAAGATGGAGTGGGATATCGATAGGCGGATTGGTGCGGCATCTACTGTGAAGCGTGCGCTGTACCGTTCTGTTGTGGTGAAGAGAGAGCTGAGCCAAAAAGCAAAGCTCTCGATTTACCGATCGATCTACGTTCCTACCCTTATCTATGGTCATGAGCTTTGGGTCATGACCGAAAGAATGAGATCCCGGATACAAGCGGCTGAAATGAGTTTTCTCTGGGCTCTCCCTTAGAAATAGGGTGAGGAGCTCAGTCATCCAGAGGGGACTCAGAGTATAGCCGCTGATCCTCCACATCGAGAGGAGCCAGTTTAGGTGGCTCGGGCAGCTGATTAGGATGCCTCCTGGACGTCTCCATGGTGAGGTGTTCCAGGCACGTCCCACCGGAAGGAGGCCCAGGCAAAGACCCAGGACATGCTGGAGGGACTGTTTCTCGGCTGGCCTGGGAGCACCTTG